TATATATATGGATATGGATATGTGGGGACATATATCATTGATGGATGCAAGCGCGCTTAGTTGAGTGGAAAAAAGGCTGTCGACTGCGGGCTGAACAAGAAGTGGGCACGCAGCTTAAGCCGCTCCAGAACGAAATCCTTGAAGCTTTTGATTTATTTGCTCGGGGAAATCATTAATTTGTTTGCCAGCAACAAAGAAGAAGAATGAGCGAGAGTAGCAAGTAGAGAAAAGAGAAAAGCTTAGCATTCAGTTTCCGCCGCTGTCAGATTTAGGGGACACAAACAACCACCGAAAATGGAGCCAGCAGCGAAATTTAAATAAAACGAAACCAACAAAGTAATCTGACACATGCGCTGCCAAATGATTGCCTTAACGATACTTTGGCACGCCCCCCCTCCCCCTCCCCCACGCCCCACACCAGCCGGCTATGCCCCAGCCGCTGGCTGCAAGACAGCTTCTGGGCTGATGCCTCGGAAGCCCAGCCAGCGGAACACTAATCCCATGTGCAGTATCTCCCATGAACAATACACAAAACTGAAAGTCACTTTACTTTATAACAGCGCGCGGCAAAGCTGACACTTATTAAGGACGAGGAAAAGTCTAAAATGCAAAATTTCCAACGAAAATCGGATGAGTTTAATGCGAATTACTGCGTGATATTTGGAGCCTTGAAGGAAATAAATAAATACACGTCTCTATTTAKTTTTATGAGAATGCCTAGGGTACTTGGGGGGCTTCCCTAGAACTATTTTTACATTCATTATATTACCTCGCTCGCCATTTTGATGGCTGGACCTCGTAATCTCTTGGCTGCACTCGTTAGGGTTGCTGCGATCGATGATGATAGTATCCGCCGGTTCCGAATCCGTGGCCGATTCCTCCTCGAAGCGCACTCTCACTTTTTTTATGACTTTCGTCACCCTGCGCTCTGCGCAATCGGAGAGTGAGGAGTCAGTTAGCCAGTCGCTGCTGTTATATTCAGGAATCCAATCATCTGGTATATCTATATCGTCTTCAGCCGTTTGTTGGGGCTGCTCTAGGGGTTGCTCGGGCAACTTTACCTGAATAGATGTTGCAAATATTTGGTATGCATATTTCTTAAGAAAGAGCGATTCGGCTTACCTGGCCATGGAGTCGTCTATATATCCTGAGGATCAGAAGGAGCAAAACGAGGATCGAGAAGCATGCTGTCCCCGCTATGAAGCCGAGATTTTCAGGCTCTGGCATAACCACATCAAAAGTTACTATCGGCAAGTTTTTTCCATAGGGCGGATAAATAAACCGTAAAATTTTGAATGTGAAATTTCCGAATTTGGTCTTCGGATACGGTTTATCAGACTCGACAAAGCGCAAGGTTTCGACAAACATTCTGGGAAGATTAACCAATCCATATCATATTTATGAAACAACGCTGGAATATAGTCCTTACCTTGTAATCTTGTAGGTGCCTGAGCGAAGTAGTTTCAAATTGCCGCAATAGTATAATATAAAATAATGTAAAGACATTAAAGCCTTTGTAGTGTGGTAGTGTTCTGTGGTGTCATGTGTAAATGTGTTGTTTGACTGTGTGATCCCAGGCAGTCTCAGTTCCCGAAAAGAATTGATTGATAATTCCCTGCCTACTTGGGTAAACCCACAAAAATGTTCCCTGGTTTATAGAGGGCTGTGAGACGGTGTTCAGCATAGCCCAAAGTCAAGAAAATCAAACGCAAAAGCAAACCATCATCACTCACCAAACGAGAGCAGACGTTGCCGGGCCGCGGAATCCTATAAAAGAGAGTGCTATTGGCATAGGGACGTCCTGGTGAACTTGTAGCTGATGCGGCGCAGCCGCTGCCAACTAACTTGGCCCAGTGCGCGTGCCCTGAGCCAGCGACACGTACGAGAAATCATGAAATGTTGCCACCATCATACCGAGAATTGTACGGCAACGTGCAAGCAATCAAAGTATATGGAGGCGCAGCCTCGTCTAGCTCTGTGCCTGGCTCCCAGAGAGTTGTACACGTCTGATTTTTACTACACACGTGTGGGATGTGACGTCAACAGGATGCCGGCTGCAGGCTGCAGGCTGCCGGCTGACTGCTGCCTACTGCTAGCTGTGAAACTAACCCAAAGTTCTGACAGCTACTAGCTGCACCCTCTCTCTCATCCTCTGGCCCTCTATCTCCCGCTAGCGACGAAGCATTGAGCAATTCTCCGGCAGACGTGCCACCAAAATGTATGGCATAACTGACGGCCCAGACGTGCCAGACGGAGAGGCTGCTTCTGCCTTTTGCTGTTTAAGTAAGCATGCAAATGTCACATGCAGTTGACTCCCGAATCCGAACAGGCGGTCTACAGCCTGTCGTACAGGCGGGCGTACAGGCGGGTAGCGGGCAATCAGATAAGCAGTCTCAGTTATCAGTGGGCGAGCATCTGTGTGCGTATTCATAAAAGATGAGACAGCGTGGTTAGTCAACTGCCACGACGGGAACTAGGCGAGATACGAAGTCGAGCCTCGAACTGGGCTGAATTTAGTGATTTCCCCAAGCATCTGGCGTACTTTTACATAATTCCGTTATGGGCTCCAGAGTCTTGGCTGATGGTTATTGATTTTGCGGCTCGGCCAAGGTGAACAGTTTGAGTTACCCCAGTGATGGAATTGTTGCATACTTCTTTGCCGGCCTAGTCTCGTGTGTATCCGAGACATGGGGCGCAATATGAGCCGCTGTTAATCAGAAATTCATATGGTACTTCGAGAGGCGTCAGTAACTGGGCTAGGGAACTGATTACTGATTTCTTGGCCGGCAACAGGAGTCTTCTGGGGCGTCTACTGAAAATCTAGCCGAGCCCCAGGACGTAATTTACAATTACTGCACGCACAGACAATTTATTTTCGAGCTCGAACGTTTTGGCCTGCAATAACACGCGTCCCGCGGCAGGACGAGCACTGCTGCCTCCCAGGTGTATTGCAAATCAAAAAATCAGGCAACCCGAGGCAGGGCTCGGCAAGGCGCACGCACGCCCAGGCAATCAGTTAAATGTTTGTGGAACTTCAGCTCGCCAATGCCAACCGAAGCACTCGAGTCTCGAGCTCTAGTCTCTAGTCTCGCGTCTGGCGTCTCTAAGGGGCAAAAAGCCAAGTTCTCTGTGCGTTTTTAGCTCTCCTTTGTTTTTGCCTGTGGATGGCGCTCTGACACGCCTTCGCCAAAAATTGAGTAGAATTGAGTTTGCTCGCGCCAACCACGAAATAAAAGAACTGAAAAGCAACAAAATCAAATGGTGCCACTGTGGCCAGGCAGGGAGCGACGCCCGATGAAGCGCCAAGTTGAAAAATCGTTTGTCGCAATGTGAGAAATGGAAGCGCCAGGGCCAAAGGCAACCCAAAATCGAAAGCCGAACTCGGAACGCCGAAAGAGGAACTACTACCGGGGAAGGGCGTTCGCCCAGCTCTGCCGCAGACGAAGTGATTTGGCTTTTAAAGAAACGAAAGAAAGAAAGAAAGCTAGAAAAAACCCTGCCATGTAATGAAACTGACAATTTAACTCGCACTGTGTGTTCGTGCTGAAAAATCGTGTTATCGATTTAATGCGTTGCACTATATAAGTCGACACACACACACATGCGGATATATACTGAAAACAAAATATATATACATATATATATAGTAGGGGTATCCATTTTACACACGGACTGCGTATCAGGAGCAAATGCGCATTGCCGAAAGGGTTGGCTCCGTGTCCTGCTTCGATTTCCCTTTGCCTTTGGCTTTGGCTTTGGCTTTGCCTTTGCATTTGTATTTGGCTCTGCCTTGAGCTGTGGCGTTGCCTTTATCGCTGGCTTCTGGCTTTCTGACTGACTGACATTTTCGTGTTGTTTACGAGATTTCTCTTTCGCCGTAGTTTATTTTTTGTCCGTATTTCTAATGGCTAGACTGCCCGGCAAAAGCATTTGATTAATTCGTAGCCGTTTTCAATTTGAAATTGCTTTAGTTCCTTTTTCACTCAAGTCCTCTGCGAATATATGTCTGTCTGTGATTCTATGTAAGTGTGTAATGTGTGTGTGTGTGTGTGTGTGTGTGTGTGAGTGTGAAGAGCACTTTAAACGTATGGGTAAGCCCTTGGAACTAAGTTTCTACTTCTCTTCTAGTTCTGTTTGACTCTCTCTGGGACTGAAATCTAGTTAGCCCTAGTTGAGTGATTTTTTATTGTAACTGTCACTTATCGTCGAGTCGTCCGTGTTGTCCCTGCAATCATCCTCTCTTTAACATAACATAAATTAAGCTGACATCAGCTACAATGCGAACTAGACTAACTCACTTGACTAATTAACCCATTTGACAACCAAATTGATTTTATACTAATTGAGACAATTTCCTCTTTCTCGTTTTAGGTACGTATAAACATTTCAATAGAAACATGTAAGAATGTGGCAATCGAGCTGTACAATACTCGTCCCAACTCCATAATGATTGCCACTGGACTAGCATAAATCATGCATGATATCTCCTAAGTAACTTTACTGTAAAATAATTTTCTTCCTTTATAAATGCTGATCACATAATCGTCGCGTAGCTGTTACAAATGTTACATAGTACATAATAGGTTACGGGATAGGTCCCGTGTAAATGAGGAACAGCATTTAATAGATGGATAAAGGGAGCGAGATCGAGAAAGAGAAAGAGAGAGAGCGAGAGGGACATATGAAAAGCTAGAGAATAACAAATAGATAGAGGACAGGACATATGTAATAATGACAACTCAAGAAAATATAAACGAGAGACGTTAATAACGAAGCAGAGATAGAAAAAATAAGCCTAAATGTGCTGAGTGTCGCCCTGCCTATGAGTTCAGCTCTGTAGCCTAGTCCCTGTGGCCTAGTCCCTTGCAGCGACAGCTTGTCGGCTCGTCAGGCTCGATCTCTCTCACAGTCGTCCCGATAAATGCCACACGCAGTGGCATGCAACAGAATGAGTTTATATGCTTATTACGTTTGCTGGCAGCTATCGGTTTTTGGGTTTGGTGGCTCTGCTGCTACGGCTCAGGCTGCCTCTGATGCTGCTGCATTGAAGTGATTGTATTGTACATTATTATGATTATTATGAAAATGCAAATGAAGCAAAGTTTGCCTGTTGGCAGTTGCCAGTTACAGATGCTGYTGCTGCTGCTGCTCCTGTTGCAATTGCAGGCATTCATTATTATTAATATGACAGAAAACAGAAGCCGAGCGGCGGTTAAACATGCAAAATGCTTTAAGCGAATTGCGAACTGAATTCGAAATGAACGAGATTGAATGAATGAGTCGATGGATGAATGGAGCCCAGACTGAATGGGTGACTGACTGTCAATTCAATTGCCGCCGAAGACATGTGCAGTTTCTTCATGCTGCCAGCTCGCCCACACAAATGCGGCCTCTCTCTCTCTCTCTCGCTCCCACCTTCGCTCGCTCTGTTTCTTTCCCTTTCGCTGCATAACATGTACGTGGCATGTAAATAGAGTCAACAATCGACATTGTTTGGCAGCAGTCTGCATGCTTAATGCTTCACTTTTCGCATAATATTTGCCAAGGTTGTTCTTGTTGTCGTTGCTGCTGCCGCTGCTGCTGCTGCTGCTGCTGCCGCTGCTGCTGCTGTTTGGTTGCCCATTAACATAATTTCAATTTGCATAAAATGACGTTAAATATTACATTTTGGACAGCTGCAGCAGCCACTGCAATTGCCATTGCAACTCCAACTGGTTGACTGACAGCGACCACGCCCCTCCCATGCGCAGGGAGTAGCTAATTGCAGGTGTGAATGTGTCGCACTATGTGAATTGCCAGCTTCATTAGCCAAACGCACACACACACACACACACACATACACACACATGTGCATAATCCATTGTTCCTCTTATGTTGCCCGCTTGCGCATTTCACATTTAATTTAGATTGCATTTTTTGTTGCCTGCATAATGCACATTATTTCCAAATCTAATGCGAACAATTTGTACAAGTTATTTGGTTATTTTGTGGCCGGTTTATGCGGATATCGAAAAACTGCATTTAGAGTCGGCCCTAAAACTAATTGATTGAAGTGTTTACAAATATGCATAATAGCCAGAGCTATGGCCATGCCCATGTCCATTCGTTAAATGGGCGCCAGCCTAATTAATATGCATAAATATTCCACACTCATTCAGATAGCCGTCCATTATGATAGGTTTATGGGGAATATTATCAATAATGCATTTATATGGGTAATATTTTCCGTCATTTCGTTTATCAATTCAACATTGTTGCAATTAAAGATGATTAGGCATTTGCGATAAGGGCTTTACATCTATTCTTATGCACTTACCGAAAGAATCATTCCCTAAAATATTATAGTTCTACTGTTCCACATACGATGTTATATGAGTTGTTTTTTGTTTGTATTATTTCGAGTGTGATTTCTCAGGCCAACTAGAACTGGACATCGAAATCTCAGCTGGATGCGATTTAATGCATACTTGATGAGATCTCTGTTGAATAGCAGAACCCTGCTTTTAACTTGAGCCAAGCATTAAATTTGTCGAGCAATTAATTTGCTCATGAAACTGAAAACCCTTTTGAA